CATTAGTAATTTTCTGCAGATGATTTCTAAATTTGTAGAAATCTGCATTAGTTACACGACGAAATTTACACACTGCTGGGTATGCATTTATTTATAGAGGGTGCACTTGTGGAGGATTCACTGTACCTCAATTATAATTATCCGAGGTCCTCCCCATATTAATATTAATATACAAAGGGAGACAATTTTTCTAGAATCAATTTCCAAATTTGGACTGTAATGTTTGTTCACGTTCGTCATAAAAATAATGTTTTATTACTTTCCCCCTTAATACAAGGATCAGAATTTATATTTAAAAACACTATATTACTCTCATTAAATTAAATGATATCCATTCATCCAATGGCACCCAAATATAAAAAACTTTTTGATCAAGACTATAAAAAAATTTTTTTAAATTGTGCAAGGACAGGTACACATTTTCAAGATGATACTTTTCCACCTAATGATTCTTCAATCTGGAAATCAAGGCTAAATCTTTCAAAATCGACTCATCAACCAATAGAATGGAAAAGATGTAAGGTAATAAAATTAATGGTTTTTCAATTGATACTAATATTACTATTATTATTATTATGTTCACAATTGTTATAATTCATTATTATAATTAGGAGCTTTCAAAAAATCCACATTTATTTATCCTCGACAATGGAAAATTAAATACTGATGTATTAAATAAGTAAAAATCAATGTTTTAAGTATTATAATTTAAATTTTACTAATTCAACAACAACAATAATGGTTGTTATTATTATTAAAGTAACATCAATAGTTCTTGGTTAGTATCGGCATTGGGTGTTTTAGCTGCTCATCCAAATTTACTTCATAAAGTTGTACCTAATTGGATTGATCAAGATTGGTGTCATAGTGACGAACCTGGAAAACAATTGGGTGTATATAATTTTCGAGATACTGAACGCCATCCAGGTAAATTAATTATCATGCTAGTTGATTGTTACAATATTGTTTTATTATACTTATATTTCTTTTTATTTTTATAATAGGGATATTTAGATTTCATTTTTATCGGTTTGGGGTGTGGATTGAAGTAGTTGTAGATGATTATCTTCCCACAAGAAATAATCATCTAATATTTTCTCGTTCTAAAAACCCAAATGAGATGTGGTGTTCTCTTTTAGAGAAAGCTTATGCAAAACTATGTAAATGTTATGAGGCATTAGAAGCAGGATCTGCTTCAGATGCATTAGTTGATTTGACTGGAACTGTTCCTGAAACAATTGAATTAAAATCTGATATTGATGATGATTGCCATGATGATGTTTTAAAACAAATGGGTGATAAAAAATTCATAGCAATGTTGCAACTTGCTAATAACACAGGTGCATTAATGAGTTGTTCTATTAATGCTCTTGAGGGTGAAAGAAAGCAAGAAAGATTACCAAACGGATTAGTGATTGGGGTAATTTTAAATAATTTATATATATTTATTAATGTACATTTGTTTATTTATGAGATAAATGAATGATTAATAAAATTTATCCTGTAAAATTTTACTAATTAGCATGTGTATGGAATTACAGGAATGGCAAATATAAAACCAAGTATTTTTAAAAGAAATAAAGAAATTGTTCTTATAAAATTACATAACCCATGGGGTGAAGTTGAATGGAATGGTAGATGGTCTGATAATTCATCAGAGTGGCAAAAAATTAGTATTTCAAAAAGAAATAAATTAGGCTTTAAAATAGCAGAAGATGGCGATTTTTGGATGGTAATCAATTAATTTAACATTTTTTATATTAAAAAATTTCTTCTAGTTTTTAATAAATAAATATTTATTTATTTAGTCATTTGAAGATTTTACAAAAAATTTTTCTACATTAGTAATTTGTCGTCATCTCAATACATCATGGTTTACATTAGGGAAACGTTGGTATGGTACAATATTGCATGGTAGATGGTCAATTAAGAATAAAACAGCTGGTGGATGTATAAATAACATAAATACTTTTTATGAAAATCCACAGTATTCTATATTAGTTCACAAACCAACTACTTTAGTAGTTGCTCTGATGCAAAAAGACAATGACAGTGATGGTGATGACAATGATGATGATGATGATGATGATGATGATGATGATGATGATGATGATATTAAAATAAGAACAGAAAAGGTTACAATAGGTTTTATTTGTCTTAAAATTGAAGAGAATCGTAAATATCGAATTCATAAGTCAACATATGAAACTGTAGGCTCTGTAACTTACAAAAATGTGCGTGAAGTTACAACAAGGATGACACTTAATAGTGGACATTATGTTTTAATACCATCAACTTTTAATAATGGAAAAGAGGCATCCTATTTCCTAAGAATATTCTCTACAAGACCAATAAAAATTAGACAATTAATTAAAGATGTACCTCCCAAAAAATGGTATGATCCTATTATATATTTTGGGAAATCATATTATGTTGGAATGGTGAGAATACAAATCATTAAAGGAGATTTTAAGAGGGAAGTTAATAAAGGTTATGTTAGACTATCTTTTTTTGATCTAAAGTCTAGGGTTTCCAAATGTTATGAAACTAGACACTTTAAAAAATCATATGATCCAGAAATTAAAACTGAATATATATTTTATGTAAGAGACCCACAAACAGCAGGGTTTTTACTTCAACTATATCAATCAAGAGCGTTTAAAAAAGATGAAATGTTGGGAGAGATGAGATTAGGAATAGATAATTATTCAAAAATGGATAAAATAGGTAAAACATGGGAAGTAACTAAAACACTAACAAAAGTAGTTCGTTTACCAAATCCAATTGGTATTTTTACAAGTCAAGAGGTAGAAGCTACACAAGAAGCCAAGAATACAAATCAACAAATTAATTCAGTAAATGATTATAACAATTATAAAAGTCAGAGTCAAAATAATAAGAAATATATGATTGGTGGTTTTCCTGTTTCAAAAAAAAACAATGAAGTTATTAGTGGTGAAAATATTTTAATTCCACAAGTTGTTGATTCTGGAATTGGTGAATTACAAATAATGATAACATATCACAATAAAATACACCCATAGACAATCATAATCACCATTATTATTATTTTATTATTATTATTATTATTATTATTATTATTATTATTATTATTATCATCATCATCATCATCATCCAAGTTTTTGTATAATTCTCACATGAAAAATTATAATTTAGTAATTTATTTAATGAGAATGTAAATAATTATCTATAAATATATAGCATAGTGGACATTTGTTTTATCACGTGTGACAAAATCAATTGTTGATCTTTTTTATGTTGTGAAACATGTTATTTCAATTGAATTTAGAATAGAAAATAGGGCATGACTGCGCACAAAACTTGTTTAACCTAAGTGTGTATATATATTCTTTGAAATTCATTTGATTCCTTCTATACATGAAATTAAAATCCCAAAGTTGAAATGTTTTGACTTGAGGCAACTACATAGTGTCACCGGAATGCGAATTCGACCTTAATTCGTTGATCAACGACCCCGAAAATCCGGAGTAATACTTTCTATATTATTTTATATTAATTATATTATTTATTTATTATTTTTAGTTATCTATTATTTATTTTTAACTTTTCCGAATGATTTAATTAATTATATGAGCTCGTGTTACATTCCGCAGAATTAATTAATTTGTAACACGTTAACGTTAGACCTTTATTTAGTAAAAATTAATGAATATTATCCCAGATTGGGAGGATAATCCCAACTTGGGAGAATAATCCCAAACTGGGAGAATACTCCCAAATTGGGACACTAATTATTCAACCTGTATATAAGGAATGAGAATTTGCTGTAATTGAAGAATAACTTTGTAACAAATTAACTTAATAATAAGTTAATAATTAGTTTCGACTAAATACAAAATTAAATAAATCATTTTTATCAAATCACTAAAACAAAATTATTCGCTAATAAATCTAATTCGTTAGTGTTAGTTTAAAAGTTTTTGAAATAAAAAGTTTAGGAATGTGCAGTTTGAAAATCCCGTAGAATTTTAAATCAAATAACTGATGTAAAAATCCACACAACTCGCACCAAGTTGTCACCAATTAATTTTGGGAGAGCGTATTTTAATTGATGATAACAGATTTTTATTAATTTATGTGGATCAGAATGAATAGGCTAACACTTCTTTATTGAAACCTTTTATTTAAATTTCTTGTTTTTAAATTATTTTATTTTATTTCCTTTATTTATTTTATTCCCATACCTTACGAGGTCATTTTATTATCTTTTTATTTTTAGTAATTTTAAATGCAATTGAAAGAAAATCACCCAGAAATAATTAAAGAAATATTTCTACGGAAATCCTCAATTATTTCAACCTTTGGAATCTACTAAAACTTTATACGAGAATAAAAGGTGTTATTCTTGTGGACAAAAAGGGCATTTAAAAAGACATTGTCAAGTCCAAGGACTAACAGAAGAAGGGGTTAAAATTAAAAAGAACGGAGAAGAACAGACTTTAGAAGAAACATCACCTAAACCACCCACGGAAATTGATGAATATTTAGATGAGTTTAGAATAATAAGAACTGATGAAAAAGTACTACCCAACATAGATGGAGATGAAGATAATCAATTGACAACTATATTGGGTAAATTAAAGGTTACAAGAAATAGTAATGCTTTTGAGTATTATTATCTCTTGGGGAAACTCATCGAAGAATATCCTGCAACTATGAAAAAGAAAATTCATCAAAAATGTCAACACAATTACAATAAATGTGGAAAAATTGTCAGAATGGCAAAAAGGACTATGATGTTGTTCAGTACAATCGGATTATCCTATTTACCCCCACAAAGATTACGTCTTACCACCCTTCGGGAAATGACAGATGGAAATTTTGAAAGATTGATGATAGGAATAAGGGCAATTGTGGCTGAACGGTTACAAGCCTTCTTGCTCTGGGATGATCTATTGAACGACTTGACTTTTCCTGTTTCGCAGGAGCTCAATGCTGGCGCGGAGGTGATGTCACCGGAATGCGAATTGGACCTTAATTCGCTGATCAATAACCCCGAAAATCCGGAGTATTATTTTTATATTATTTATATTATTTATTATTTATTTTTAGTTATTTATTTCATCTATTATCTTATTTTATCCTAATATTTACAAATAAATTCGTGCCTGTGCCACCGCTCACTCGCCATGATGTTTAACTTAAAATCTTGTTCCATATCCTCAGTTCAAAAATTATTAGCCTTTAAAGTTTGACAGTTTTGTTGATCTTAGATGAGCTTGCATAATTGAAAAACGAGTACATACTAATACTAATACTAATACTTTCTTCTTCCAATATTATTATAATGTTTTTTTTTATTATGCACATATAGTTACATTTTTTTTCTAATTTATTAAATAAATAAATGCTGCTGTACAATTAAAACCTTAATTATCCTATTGTTGC